TAAACCAAATAAACCAGCTCTAAACACAAAATCCAGGAATAGTCCAGTACAAATGTTCACAGCACAGTATCAAATAACTAGCAACACAACTAGCAGTATCAAGGTTCTCGAATGACTAAATACACAACACACTTGTGTAATACACATGTGAATTCAACTCAAGAAAATAAACACTAACATGCTCTTTTCCTTTATAGAAAGCTATGCAACCTCAAGTGGCATGGAGATCACAGCCAAGTAACTCTACAGGTCCGAGGGAAAAGACTGCAAAGCTCCCAGTCAGATTTTTTACTCTGATGTTAACAAGTGTTTTTAGTTTCTTCTAATGGTGTCAACTGTATCTTCCTGAACAAGTGTTGCCTTGCATCCTGCTGGGGTTTGTTTCATGGTGCCTCTGTTCCCACATAGCTGTTTTCACTTTTCCGGCCTGTACAGGCTGCCGGGAATGTGTTATTAAACACAGACAGTGGCAAAACATGTCTTCACTCTGTAAAAACAACACAGAAGCTGTGTCTGAAGTAACATACCGTACAGTATATACCATGGCAGAGATTTAATGCCACATCGGCAGCAGCTGTATATATTGTATACAAGAGTCCTAATCACAAAAATAATATCTGTTTATTAGATTAATTACATTTGTTGCTTCCTGTGCACAACTGACAGAAGAAGATGCAATGAAGTTTAAGGTTTATGCAACTTTTAATTTACAGAAAATCACAAAGTATCTGTGTACTGATAAAAAATAATGCTCCATCTGCTTTATAAATAAAGTATTTTTCTTTACTGTACATATTCTATATACTGCACAAAGCAGCTTCAAGAGAGATTTTACATTTATTATTTCCGACTTTTACAAGGTACTGTGACTGCCAACCTGAAAATTTACAATGAATCATCTAGACACTATTTAAGAGCTCTTCAGTCTCTGTTTTTTAACTCAACCACCTATTAAAATGTGAAGCAGGCTACACTGCAAATATTCTCTGTTGCGTTGTAGTGAAATCACATAATACAATGCAAACAAATGTGTCCTTTTCCTTAAAGGAATTTTAACTTCTTATTATTTCCGACTTTTACAAGGTACTGTGACTGCCAACCTGAAAATTTACAATGAATCATCTAGACACTATTTAAGAGCTCTTCAGTCTCTGTTTTTTAACTCAACCACCTTTTAAAATGTGAAGCAGGCTACACTGCAAATATTCTCTGTTGCATTGTAGTGAAATCACATAATACAATGCAAACAAATGTGTCCTTTTCCTTAAAGGAATAGTTCATCCAAAAATTTTAACTTGCTGAAAATGTACTCACTTTGCATCCATCAAAAATAAATAAATTTAAGCAATGGCTTAATGATGTTTTTTTGTTTTTTTTTATTAAAAACATGCAGCTTTTCACCTTACAAGACATTGATTGATGAACTGGAGACGTGGATTAATTGTGGATTACTGTAAAGTTTTTATCAGCTGTTTGGACTCTCATTCTGACGGCACCCATTCACTGCAGAGGATTGGTGAGCAAGTGACATAATGCTAATTTTCTCCAAATCTTTTTTGATGAATAAACAAACTCTTCCTCTTGAATGGCCTGAGGGTGAGTACATTTTCAGCAAATTTTCATTTTGGGTTAATTGTTCCTTTAAATTAGTGCTGTCAAACGATTAATCACATCCAAAATAAAAGTTTTTGTTTACATAATATATGAGTGTGTACTGTGTATATTTATTACGTATATTTAAATACAAACACATGCATGTATATATTTAAGAAAATGTGTTATGTTTACATATTAAATATATTTATATATAATTTAAAATAGAATCATAAAAATATATAAATGTATATACATGTAAATATTTGCAAAACATATACTGTATGTGTGAGTATTTATATATACATAATAAATAAACACAGTGCACATACATATGTAAACAAAAACATTTATTTTGGATGTGATTAATCGTGATTAATCGTTTGACAGCACTAATTTAAATATATATA